TGGACGGCACTTTTCCCTTGGGACGCGAATTTGGGCCTGAGGGACGGGGAATGAATGCGGAAAAGCTGGTGGTCTTGTAAGAAGCATAGCCAGCATGCTCTCCCGGCGCCGGAACACCTCGAGCCACTCGGGGCGCCGCCAACCGCCCAGCCGCCCCAGTCCCCCGGTTGCTCGGGCAACCAGCCTCCTCCCGCGGCGACCGCCATGTTTGAGCGCGTCCGTCTCATGGATTAGCAGCACGCCCGGCCAATGGGGCCCCGGCTGCCCGACGTCACCCAGCAGAGTCCAGGAAACACCCCTTTCGTCCGGCCCTCCCGGCTCACCGGAACCCTCCAGGCGGTGTCGGAGCCCCGCGATTTGGGGTAGAGCTTGTCCAGACTGTAGATGCTCTGGAATTCGGTGCCCTCTGCCTGTTTGTTCAGAGTCCGGTGGGGGCAGCGCGCGGGCGGCGGGAGCAGCCAGGATTCGGCTCGGTTCAGGCCCCAGCGCAGCCACCGTACGGCTGCCATGTTCGGGTTTCGGGGCCGCTTCCGGTGGGCGCTTTCTTCTGCGGTCCGTGGGCTCGCTCTTCCCTCGAGACTTTGGTTCCGCTAGACCTTTAGCGCCTGCCACGGGGAGGAAGCGAGCAGAGCTCCCGACGTTGCTCTCGCGCGGAGCTTATTAGAGGCTTCTGGTCGGCCGCCTTCAGGACGCCTGGTTGGTGCTTTGAGGGCATCTGCTGCGATGGGGAAGACGTTGGCCAGACAGCGAGCTCTCAAGGGAGCCTCCTGGTGAAAAGAACCCCCGGATGCCGCGTCCCCCAGAAACACCACTTTTCTCCCTTTTTGTCTGTGCCTTCCTGGAACTATGTTCCCCCAAATCTCACAGCATCAACGAGGCATGCCCAGGTTCATCTCCACCCCCTTTACTCTTCGCCACTGTTTTTTTTTTCTTTCACATCGCTCAATCTTATTTTTGTGTCTGTTGCCTGCCTCCCAGCCGGAATGTAATCACCTCCAGGAGGGCACTGGCTCATTGCTGGATCCCCAGTACCCAGAACCTGGCACGTCATGGGTACTCAATAAATATTGTTAAAAGGGACTCTTTGGGAAGGTGTTTTTGAAAGTTGAGTTCCGCGAGAGCTGAGTTTTAGTAACTTCAGGCTCATTCACAAGGCAGCCTAAAAGCAAATCCCTGCTGAGCACCTGTGTGAAGGCTCTGTAGGACAAATACCAGGATGGAGAGGCGGGCAGGTAGAGAAAGAAATACTTTAGAAAGTGGACACCCGCCCCAGCCCGCCTGCTTTGTGGAGCTTGATGGCAGTTTCTCCAAGCCAGGAGATAAGGGGAGGATGAGGAAGTAGGTGGAGATTCAGACAGCCACAGACAGCCTAAGCAGAGCCCTTTTTACAGGATTGTTAAAAAATGAACTTGAAAACTGAGAAGTTCTAACTCTGAGAAAAGGTTTAAAATAGAGCAAGCAGTGTTTGGAAACAGGTCAATGTTAGCTAAGTTGCTTTGTTGAGAGGCAGTGTGGTAAATGAAAACAGCTCAATAAATATTAGTGATGATTAGTAATACTAGTGGTTATTTCTTAATGGCGGGTTCTATTTTTAGGAAAAGCACAATTACCTAGAAAAACATGCCCCTGGGAATGCGGCTGTTTGAAATAGGAGATTGTCATCAAGTCAGGGCTTTACCATCTTAGCCTCATTGATAAAGGCAAATTCTTTAGGAGGGAAAACAATTCTTCCCAAGCACTGGCTTTGCAAACCCAGACTAGGAAGGGAATGGCAATTGACAGGCGCTTTTGGGGCTCTAGGCTTTAAGGGGAGTCTCCTGGGACCCTCCCTGTCTGACTTAATCCCATGACCTCAGAGGGAACAGAGGCGTCTCCATGGTGACTGGAAAAAGCTGCTCAGGGGAGCAAAGCCAGGGACCTGCCCAGGTTGACGGCTCAGGGATTACGAATAAAACCACCATCCCGTGGCATCACTGCTCTGAGGCTGGGCTCCAGCTCTGCGCCTGACCCAGAGTGATAGGAAAAGGAAGCTGTAGGTTTCCATGGCCCCAAATAAACAGCCTGCTCAGGCCATCTGGTGGCCTGGATTCTGGGAGAGGAGGGGGTAGAGGAGAGAATGGAACAAGCTACCCTGTGGTGGATAGAGGAGCAGCTGGCAAGCTCCTTTCACCTGCTGCTGCCAAGAACCATCCAGAATAGAGGCCCTTATGGGAGAAACAGTCCTGAGAGGTGCCACCTGTTCCCTTCAAAAGGTGGCACTGAAGGCTGAGGCCAGCCTTCTTCCCTTCTCTGGTTCTCCATAGGTTGAATGGGTGCTTCAGGAAGGGGACCTGCATAGGGGCGAGAAGAGGGGAAGAAAAGATAAAGGATCATCAAGCCATTTCTGGTAGCCGAGGAGCTTGCAGACACCAGGCCTTCTCTATAGCTGTGAGGGGGTCCACAGGATTTTCCTTTTTTCTTTTCTGGAGTGCCCTAGGTCAGACTGGCTCTTAAAACTCAGCATTACATGGAGGTAGGGAACATGCCGTATCACACAGTGGGATTGATCAGGTCTGGGTTCGACTATTTCTATGTGATTTTGTGTGTGTGTGTGTGTGTGTGTGTGTGTGTGTGTGTGTGTGGTACGCGGGCCTCTCACCGCTGTGGCCTCTCCCATTGTGGAGCACAGGCTCCGGACGCGCAGGCTCAGCAGCCATGGCTCACGGGCCCAGCCACTCCGCAGCATGTGGAATCTTCCCGGACCGGGGCACGAACCCATGTCCCCTGCATCGGCAGACAGGCAGACTCAACCACTGCGCCACCAGGGAGGTGCCTCTATGTGATTTTGAATTACTAACTTAACCTCTAAGCCTCAGGATCCCCATCAGTAAAACAGAGATTTTACCACTGCCTCATGAGGTTGCTGAAGGCCAGGGTGATTTAAAAGGCAAAGGAGGAGCTTCCCTGGTGGCGCAGTGGTTGAGAGTACGCCTGCCGATGCAGGGCACACGGGTTCATGCCCTGGTCTGGGAAGATCCCACATGCCGTGGAGTGGCTGGGCCCGTGAGCTGGGCCCGTGAGCTGTGCCCGCTGAGCCTGCACGTCCGGAGCCTGCGCTCCGCAGCGGGAGAGGCCACAGCAGTGAGAGGCCCGCGTACCACAAAAAAAAAAAAGAAAAAAAAGGCAAAGGAAGGCTTCCCTGTTGGCACAGTAGTTAAGAATCCGCCTGCCAATGCAGGGGACACGGGTTCAAGCCCTGGTCCTGGAAGATCCCACATGCCGCAGAGCAACAAAGCTGGTGAACCACAAAGCAGGTGTGGGTTGGGAGGAGGGATTTCAAAATCAGTACAGCAAGGAGGGTCCACCCCACAGGGTACCCTGCGAGGCAATGTGACTGGCCTAGCTGGTACTCAACAAATATGGAAACTTCCAAGAGCCTGCTATTTAGAGCTGTTTGGCTGCCAATCACGGGGGTGGTGAAGCTCAGGCTGTGCCCCTCCCCCCCATAGATAGCTGTGTGATGGGAGGCGGGTGTATGAGATGCACGGAGACAGGACCATGGCTCCATTTCTGGCTTTAGATTACTGGTGTGTTTTTTATTAAAGAAGAGAATAAAGCATTTGTAAATATATTTCTCTCACGTATACTTCAAAGATGACGCTGGTCAGCAGCTACAGAACCGGGGAGCAAACAGGCAGAAGCCCTTCCCTCACCCGTCCCATCCCACCCCACCCCCTCCACCCTAGATGCCGGAGACACACGGATGGCTGGGAGCTGCCCAGCTCCAACGGACCAAAGGTTCCAAGATGTGTGAATGGAAGGACCAGCTGACAACTCTCATCACAGTGCCGCCTGGAAAGCAGGGTGGCGCCTCCAGGGAGGTTGGGAAGGACTGTTAAGAAAACCCCTTTACCCCTTAGAAACAAATAAGGCATGAAGATTCCCCACTGGGCTCCCAGCACAGAGGCCGGGGCTACTGACTTCCACTGCGTTGTATGGCTCCTCTGATTTCTAGGGTCTCAGGAAGAAGGAACTGGGAGCCCTGAAGAATTTCTCAGGGCAAACTGGGGACCTGGGCATCTCTTAGCTGAAGCTCTTAGCTGAAGCTGGACCTTCTGAAGCCTTAACAAAAGATTAAACCCCTGACCCAGCTGGGTCCTCAAAAGCAGGCATTGTATGGGAAGGAGGAGACATGTTCCCCATCTGGTCCCATTTCAATACTGCCCAGTGTGGGGTGAGACTCTTGGGCAGGCCCCAGTAAAGGGGGGCAGGGGAGGATGCTAGGACCATGGGCTGGTGGCACACATCCAGGACATTCTGGGGGTGGCAGGCATGACCTGCGGTGGGGTGGGCCTGGGGGGAGCATGGGGGTGAATGAGACACATCATGGTCCCTGAGATGGGGACAGGCAGAGGCCAAGCTTGGTGAGTCAGAGGAGGCATGCAGAGATAGGGGGCTCCCACTGCCCAGACCCCTGGAAGGCTTGATACCCAGAAGGCATTTCCAGGGCTGGAACCCGGGGAGGCTGGCTCTGAGTTGATTGGCTACAGATCTGCAGTGGGCTGAGGATTTCCAGGGAGAAGCCCGCCCTCACCAGGGCTGGAGTTGGGCCACTCGGGCCTGGCTCAGGCTTTTTGCTCTGCATGGCAGGGGCCGTCTCTGACCTGGTCAGGACCCTCGAGGTGGGACAGCTGGTGCTAAGGGAATGACAGTGTGTCACAGCTGGAGAAGCAGTGGGTGGTCCAGGAGAGCCCTGGAACCTGCAACAGCTGGCTCCGGGGTCCCCCTTCAAGTGTTTCCAGTTGTGGCGAGGGGTCAGGGAGACCCTGCCTTGCAAAAAAAAAATCTCTCAAAAAAATAAAAATAATAAAGAGAACTTTGGGAAAAAAAAGCCAACTGGTCCAGAATGGCTTTCAGAAGCCTGGCCACAAATCTGGGAGCAAGGCCCAGGGTCAGGGAGTGGGGGCTGGGAGAGCGGGGAGTGGGGACATTTGGCTTGCAGACTCTCGGCTGCGCCTTTGGGCTGGCGCGGGGTGGTGGATGGTCCTGGGAGGCAAGAGGTGTCGACAGCCTCCCCCGTCAGCAGGGAACGGGTGTCCCCCGCACGCTCCCTGGGTCAGAGAGCAGCCTCCCTCTGGGGTGTATTGCTGCTAAAGGGCTCCCTCTCTCACCACAGGCTGCACGGCCCAGGTAAGAGGGACCCCCACGGCCCAATCCTGGGGGAGGCCACTGGCCGGGGAACTTTCACTTGCTGCTGTGCGTCTTGACTTTGGTGGCGTTGATGTCGGCCTTGGTCTTCTGGATCCTGGAGAAAATCTCCTTGAAGAGTGCCTTGTACTCGGGCTGGCTCTGCTCCAGCCGCTTGTCCACGGCCTCCACGTGCTGGCTCAGGCTCTTCTCGCCCGCCCTGGCCTCCCCCTGGCCCTCGTCGCTGCCCCGCAGGTCCTTCCACGAGCTGTCCCGGGAGACGGGCCGCGAGGTCTGCACGCCCGCGTGCCGCACCCCTGCCCCGTGCTGCCGGCACTTGCTCAGCAGCTCCTCATACTTCTCCAGCAGCGCGTGGTACTGCTCATCCACCTCGCGCAGGATGGACATGCCCCGCTTGCGCACGCTGTTGGCGTGCAGCGTGAGGCTGCCCACGTGCCGGCCGGCCGGGTCTCTGGCCACGATGGCGTTGAGTGCCGTGTCGCTGCAGCTCTTGCGCACGGTGTGGCCCGGGGACGCGGCCGGAGAGGAGACCCCGTCCTGGGTGCCCGAGTCGTCCCCGCTGCCCGGCTGGGGGTCGTCGGCTTCAGGCGCCTGGGTGAGGGGCGCCAGCAGGGCCTCGGCCAGGTGGTCCTCCCGGCCCAGCAGGTAGGTCTTCACCTGCTTCATCTGCTGCAGCTCCAGCAGCTCGGCCTCCAGCTCCTGCACGCGGAGGCGGCAGCCCTCCATCTCGCACAGCCGCCGCTCCAGCTCTGAGTACTCCTGCAGCACCGCCGCGTACTCGTGCTCCGCCCGCTGCTGGCGCTGGCGCTCCTGGCTCACCTGGGAGCGCAGCACTCCCACCAAGGTCTGCAGCCGCTCGTTCTCCTGCTCCAACGGCCGCGGGCCCAGCTCCAGGGAGGAACTGTGCAGGCGGAAGGCATCCTCGCACCTGGGAGGGAGCAGGGGCAGGTGGGCAGAGGGCGGTGGGCACGGCCAAGGCCCCGGGAGCCCAGCCGCATCTCTCTCCCCGACGGGGCTGGATAGGCTGCCCCACCTAAAGTCGCTCTCGGCCTTTCTACCCCTGCTTTCTGCCCTGGGAGGTTGCCCTTAGCTTCCGCCAGGTTTCCTGGCTCTCTCTTGGGTTCAGCCAATGGGAGGCACTGGCAGGAGGGCCAGGGGGATGGGGGCAGAGGGAGGTCACGGGGAATGTCTCCCCCTGGGCTCCTTCCCTGGTTACTGCAGGCCAGACAGTGCTCTCCCTGCCTTCTAGGTTCCAGTAACCTCCCTTCTCCTGGTCCCTTCAGGCCTCAGGATGGTAACAGCTCCTTGCTACTACAACCCCAGGGTGCTGCAGTATCCCCCTGGTTTCCCCGCACCTTGCCCACACCTCTTTATTAAGCACTCCTCAGTTACTCTGGGTGGAGGCTATCTGTCTCCTGCCAGGACCTTTATTGAAACACCCACTAAACACACCCGTGTGTACAGTATTCTTACATTAGGAAGTCATCCTATTCAAAAGACTTAATGAGAACTGAAAGGTATAGTTGTTAACCTCTCCTGGGTGAGAATTCTGGCTTACTAAACAAACAGGTGACCTTAGATAAGACACATGATCTCGGAGTTTCAATTTCCTCCTCGGAGTAGTGGGGACATGAGAATTAAATCACTTAGCAGAGTGGTGGGCACACGGCCAGTGCTCACAGGCGCCAACTGCTGACTGTTGTCAGTGACAGGAGCAGCCCCTCCGGGAGCCTGGACAACACGGCAGCTCTCCTTCCCGCCTGCTGCGGGGCGCCTCCCTGCCCTTCCCTGCTGTGGTTTGCAGCCCTGGGCACTCAGAGACACGGTCCAGGGTCCAGGCTGCTGCCCTCAAGTGGCACCCTCACCTACCGGGGGCTGGCGCACAGCTCCTTGAGGCAGGGGAAGGTGTGGATGGTGCGCCGGCGCTCTCGCTTCTCCCGCCGCACTCGCAGTTGCTCCAGGTCCCGCAGCTGCTCCACCTGGGCCTGCAGCTCCTCAACCTGGGTCTGCAGGCGCTCGATGGTCTCCGTCAGCCTGGGGATGGGGTGGCGGACACACGCATGGGAGAGACTTTAAGGGGACAGGGCCAGCCCTCCTCACTGCAGCCCTAGGGGGACTTGGGGGTGGGGGACAAACAGGTGACCTTGAGCCATGCTGCCCGGTGCTGAGGTCAGACAGGGAACTCCTTGTACGCCCAAGGACCCACTCTTTTCCCCCACCTCCCAGGCCGAGCTGACCATTTCTCCTCTGTGTCTCCTCGGTTCCTTGTACACCCATCTAATCACTTATCACCCTATAAAATATTTTGCAATAAAATATTTACGTGTCTGCCTTCCCTCCCAGAGGGCGGGACAGTGTCTTTACATCCCCATCACTGTATTCCCCAGTGCCTAAAACAGAGCCTGGTGTGTAGCTCGTGCTTAAAGAAGGTTTGTGTCCTGAATGTTAAGCCAGCCCAAATCGACAAGGACAAACTCACTACCATCCCAGGTTCCCAGACCTGGGCTTCTGAAAGAAGGAGACTGAGTCACACCCGCTGGTCAATATGCACACATGTACACCCAGCCCTGGGCCTCTCCTTGGCCATCCCCAGCCCCCGGCTCCCAGCCCTCTACCCGGCCCTCACCCATGGATCTTCTGCTGGGCAGCCTTACTCTCCAGCACCAGCTTCTGGTTGGTCAGCTCCAGGTCTCGGGCCGCCAGGTCCAGTTGTTCGTACACTTTGGCATGCTGCTCATTCACGTGCCGCAGCGTGTCCAGCTGTTTGGTCAGGTACTGGGGGTGGGGGTGGGTGAGTAACCTTTCCGAACTGTGTTGGGGACAATGTCTCCGCCTGGGCCCTCCTCCCACTTCTAGGAACAGGTTTGCTTTGGGGTATTCGTCTGAAGCAGAGAGAGGTGTCAAGATGGTGGTGCAATAGGGCTGCCTGGGACAGTTGTGCAGGTTGTGAACTGCACAAGGCTGTTGGGCCAAGGCTGGGCCTGCTAAGAGGGCACCTTTTCCTAAACTGCACAAAGGTACACACGGGCCAAGGGGTCCTTGATGGGTGACGGAGCCTGTGCAGGGCCCGTGTGGCCCCTCACCTCAATCTCCTGCACTTGCTCCTCGTTGGTGGAGTACATCTGCTGCAGAGACTGCTCCAGCTCCTTGTTCCTCTCCAGCAGCGTCTTCCCCAGCTCAGCAGCTAAGTGCAAGTCTTGTGGGGGAGGGGGCAGAGGTGGGGGGAATATGAGCAGCTGAGAATGAAGTTGGAGGACCCCCCGCCATTCCTGTTCTGAGCATTCATTCTGGTCTGGGCCGCTGGGGACCCTGAGAGAACCAGGACCCAGGGGCCGCCCCTGGGGAGACTCCAGGCCTGGAAGGGGATGTAAGCCACAAGCTGAGCCTGTGCATTGGCTGTCACTTCTGCCTGGAATGTCCTCTCCCCAGACACTCCCAGGGCTCACCCCTCTCTGCCTTTAATGTCACCTTCTCCAGGAGGCCTTCCTCAGACATTGACCTCACTGACCTCAAAACTGCACCCTCCCCCACGCCCCACTCCCTCCCTGCTTCATTTTTCTCCTGAGCTCGTATCACCACCTAATTTACCAAACAAGTTGGACCCTTATCTTGTTCATCTCCCTTGACTAAATCGTAAACTTACAGGGCAGGGATTTTGCCTGTTTCGGTCACTGATATTCCTAGGACCTAGAACAATACCTGGCACAGAGCAGGTGAATAAGAAATCTTTTCTGAAAGAATGAGTGAGTGGAATGTGATAAGAGCATCAGCAGACATAGGGGCAAAGTGCCCTGGGATGATAGGTAAGGGAGAGTTCACGCAGGGGACAGTGGGAATCTCAGGCAATGAGCAGCCTTGGAGTTGGGTTTGGAAAGGCGGCTGGAGCTCACTGAGAGGGGGAGGGGCAGAAGGGCTTGCTGGGTGTTAGAACTGGACACGGCTTCAAGGCTCTTTGGCCCAGGACTTCCCGGGTGGCACAGTGGTTAATCCGCCTGCCAATGCAGGGGACACGGGTTCGATCCCTTGTCTGGGAAGATCCCACATGCCCCGGAGCAACTAAGTCCACATGCCACAACTACTGAAGCCTGCGCACCTAGTGCCTGTGTTCCGCAGCAAGAGAAGCCACCGCAATGAGAAGCCCGCGCACCGCAACAAAGAGTAGCCCCCGCTTGCAACTGGAGAAAGCTTGCGCGCAGCAACGAAGACCCAACGCAGCCAATAAATAAATAAATAAATATATTAAATAAAAATAAAAGAGAGAGAAAACAGGAAAGTAAAAAATGGTGCAATAAAAATAAATGTTAAAAAAAAAGCTCTGGGGCTTCCCTGGTGGCGCAGTGGTTGAGAGTCCGCCTGCCGATGCAGGGGACACGGGTTCGTGCCCCGGTCCGGGAGGATCCCACATGCCGTGGAGCAGCTGGGCCTGTGAGCCATGGCCGCTGAGCCTGTGTGTCGGGAGCCTGTGCTCCGCAACGGGAGAGGCCACAAAAGGGAGAGGCCCACGTACTGCAAAAAAGCAAAACAAAACAAAACAAAACAAAACAACAACAACAACAACAAAAATAAAGCTGGGGTAGCTAGCTTCACACTCTTCTAGAAACACCATGTCCTGGTGGAAGAAAAGGTGTGCCAGGCCCTTGCCAGTTTGCAAAACCGAGCTCTGGCTAATGGCTAATTAACCATGTGACCCCAGAAAACAAAAAAAAAAAAAAAAAAAAAGCTCTGGCCCAACCTCTTTATTCTATGGATGACAGGTTGAAGAGGAAAGAAGAATAACCTACCTGAGGTTTCATTACTTGGGTTATAGCCACATTGGAAGCAGAATTCACATCTCCTCACCCCAGTTGGGTACCATTTGGTCCTAGTGACACACGCCCCTCTCCAAAACCTTCTCTTTTCCCTGGGCAGCAAAACCAACCTCTTCCCCCAGTAGCCCCGATTCTTGTACCCTGTGGGACCGGAACCTCCTCTCCCCAATCCCAGCCAAAGGTAAATGAACACCTATCAGAGAGGTCGGGAGGAAATCTGGCCTGTCTTTAGGGGGCTATATCGTGGGGAGGGGGAGGGGTTAGAAGGGAATGGCAGGTGCTGGAATCCCTAAAAATTCTCTCAGTGGGTCTGAAGTTGGGCGAGGGTACCTAGACATTTGGGGTGGATATTTCCCCATACATAGGCCTAACTCCTTTTAGAAGCAAAGGGTAATATATAAAATAGATAACTAATAAGGACCTACTGTATAGCACAGGGAACTACGCAATACTCTGTAATGACCTATATGGGAAAAGAATCTAAAAGAGTAGATATACGTACATGTATAACTGATTCACTTTGTTGTAGAGCAGAAACTAACACAACATTGTAAATCAACTATACGCCAATAAAAATTTAAAAAAGAAACAAAAGTTAATGTTTGTAAATATATTATTATTTATATTTAAATATATAAATATATGTGTAAGGGAAGCCTAGGATCAGATTGTGGTCTCAAAGAGGAGGTCAGATCAACTTATGTAGTTATGTTGTGTGCTTAGTGGAAATTCAGCAAGACCACCCCTAGTTCGTGACGAGGGAGGCCCGCCAGCTTCCTGCTCTCTGTAATGGGATGGCGGACATTTGGCTCATCCACAAACGCTATCAAGTAATTCATGTATACGTGAAAAAGAACAGCCGGTCACACTAACTTTTTTTTTACCCTTGGGAACTGTCAGGTCGTCTGTGACGAGGCCGCTGCTAGGGATGCTACCTCCTGCACTGGCGTGGGAGGACAGGCTCTGTGGGTGGCCTGCATGAAGCCCCTGAAACTTAACCTTGAGTCCAAGGTCAGAGGCAGAGTGAGGAAAGGCCAAGGACAACTGCACTTTATGTTCTTCCTTCCAGGTGAGCATCTGAGCTGCGTGTGTATTCCTACTGCCAGTGGGGTGGGCTGGGGCAGCTGTCATACTGCAAGTCATACTGTAAACGGGGGATATTGAAGGCAGCGAATGTGACCCGGGCCGCTTAGCTTAGCGATTCCGAGATGCGGGAAAGGAACACAATAGAAGCGGCTTGGGGAGAATCCCAGAGACTGTCTCAGGGAAATGGGATCACAATGCAAGCTAAGCTGGTCCGAGCTGCCAGGAGGGATCATGAGAGAAGTCTAGAAGCTGCAGGGCCGGGAGCTGAGTAGAGCCAAGTGCTGGGGAAAGGACACCAGCTAGATGAGGGCTGGGCACGGCTTTGGCTTTGGGGAGGGTGCAGCTCCCTCTGGACCAGAGGGGGAGGGAGTCCTGGGAGTGGGAGGACAGGGGAGCTGGCTAAGCCAGAAGTGGAATCTGGAGTAATAAACAGCCTGTCACAGCCAGATTAATGGTTACACTGGACCAGGCCAGGGAAGGTACTGAGTCTGAACTGGCATCTCCTCTGCCTGGACCCCAGCATTTTCTGGGGTCTCCTGCAGTGGGCTGCAGCAGTTTTGCCCTCTGAATGCCAGCAGAGGTGTTGCCCAGGAACAATGCCCCAGAGCCCTAGAGAGAATGGCTGGGAGCCAGGGGATGTCTTTGAAGAGAAATCCTGAAATCCTACTGCCCCTCCTGGTTGGGGTCAGGGTGGGACCCCCTAGACTCCAGAGAAGAGAGGTAGGAAAAGGACAGAGGACATAGGGAAGAAAAGACAAAGATAAAGGGGGCAGAAGGAGGCCAGCTACCACCTGGCAGGGCTGCAGGGGTCCTGTTCACAACCTCTGGGGCACCAATGTCAGGAACCCTGGGTCCCCAGAACTGGGGTCCGGTCACCTCCCTCCCCTCACCATGTCAGAGTTCTCCCCTGAGGCTGAGACTCAAGGTCAGGAGCCCAGGACCTCAATTCTGTGACTCAGCAGTCATCTCTCAGCCTGGAAAGAGGTACCCACAGGGCCGGCCACACCTCGTCCAAGGTGGGGGAGGGAGGCAGGCAGAGAGAGAGTGCCGGCGCTTAATAATTAATGTTTTTTTCTATTTTTACTGGTGCTCGTGGCAGTGGGCAGAGGGAACACAGTGAGAAAGGAGGACCCTGTTTGTCCCAGATGCCTGCCTCCACTGGGACGGAACAGCAACAAAGTCAAACAGGAGCTTGATGGCCAAGCATCTGAAAGTAAAGTTGGGGCCCGTCCTCAGGGGAGTTGGGGCTAGCTGAGAAAAACCATGTCCTGGGACACTCAGAGGCAACTTGGGGGCAGCTGGGCGGGAGAGAATTTGGGGAGCGGGTGTGGGGAAGGAACAGGCACCCGATCCCCCACGTGTCTGGCCTTTGGTCCGCGTTCACCCCACCATCCAGCCCTCCGTGCCGGTCCCCGTGGGGTGCCGCAGCAGCTGTGCCTGGGACTTCCTCCGACCCCCACCCCGGCACTCCAGGTAATTCCCACTTTGCAGTCATGCATGGTCTTTTCGCATGGCTCTGTGCCTCGGTACAAGCACCCCCTCCACTTAGACTGCCGGCCTGCCTTCCTCTGCTGGGGCCGGGCGGGAGGGCCCTCTTCACCCTCTGGCTCGGAGGGGTGTGTAAACCTTTACAAGTCTCACAGCAGAAGGCCCTCACTTCTGTTCTCACTGTCCGCAGGGGCTCACTGCTGCAGAACCCCTGTCGCTCCGTCACAGGTGCTAGTCTGATCCCATTTCTGCCTCCTCTGCCGGACTGTGGAGACTGCGAGGGTGGAGATCACGTCCCAGGCTCAGCACAGCACCTGGCCCACGGCAAGCACACGTTTGGCTTCTGGTGGAAAGCTCCAGTTTCTTCTGAGACTGTCTCATTTCTGCTTTCCCTCCTCGTTCCTGGGCTCTGGCTGCTACTCAGGCTACGAGGCAAGGCTGACTGCTGCAGACCAGTAAGGTCAGAAAAGCAGGGGCCTGTGGGGCCCATTCCTGACCCCGGACCCAAAGCATAGCTGCCCGGCCCAGCTGGAATCTCGACATCTCTCTCCCTCTCCGGATGCAGCACATCTCCCACCCCTACTCCCTAGCTCCTTCCTCCCACATCTGGGCCGGGCACAGTGCCAGAGACTCCTTTAGGGGTGCGGGAATGAAATGAGACAGCAACAACATTAGCGTCTGCCTCCAAGGAGGCCATCTTCCCAGGCACTCAGCTTCCAATCTTTCCTTCTAGGCCTGCCTCTTCCATGAAGCCCTCTCACTGCATCCTATCATCTCCACTCAGTTACAAGCCCAACTCCACCTACTCAGGTGCACCCAGGAGGCCAGGGCTGGGACTACTCCCAGCTCCCAGGATAGTGTCTGACACTTAAGTGGAGCCTGATATGTGTTTGTGTAATGTGAGGTTTTGGGGGTAGTTGCCCAGGATGGGGAAGGGGGTTGTTGCAGCCAGGACTGGGCATTTCACTCCAGGCAGGGAGGCTAGCTTCCAGGACACAGAGGTGCGGTCCAGCCCAGCACCCCGCCCCCGTCCTACACTGGTCCCGCAGAGGCTCTGATTAACCCATGGTCCTGAACACAAGGGCAGCGCCTCATCTACCAGCAAATGTGGCCACGTGGGGATGTGGGTCAGGGCCGGAAAACAAAGTCTCCAGGATCTGGCTAGATGCCTCACATGAGGGCAAAGGCAGGCGTCTGGGCCCCATGGATGGAGACCCAGAGCAGAGGGTGTCTGCACACACTGAACCAGACTGTGTCCACACCCACCAGGCTTGCTGGGTGACTGTGGTCACTTCTAGAACATGTTTCCTAGCGCCTCCAATTCTGACCATCCAAGAATGAGGCACTTTTCCTGGGAGGAGAGGTTGGATTTGATGTCACTCCAGCAGGGCCTGGCCCCGACCCTCTTAGGCCTCCTCCTCCTTCCTGTCCTAACAGCCCCGCCCCCTACTTGGAGTGACGTCACCTCGGCCACCTCATCAACCCCCTTCCAGTCGCCCTCTCTGCCCTCAGATGGGAGAGAGGGGAAAGTGACTCCCTGTTTACTCAGGCTCTGATCTGGGGCACTGCTCAGAGTTCCCAAATCTGATCCCCTCCAAACCTTGAGCCATTTGGGAGAAGGCCAGCAGGGGAAGGACCAGGGGACTCCTCCCTCTGGAAGGCAGATTGGACTCCTAGTAGCCTCCGCGTCTCCATCGGCAAGGTGCCGGCACCCCCATCAGCTCCCTGGGTAGAGGGGAAGGGAGTTGGGGAAACTTTCTAGGAGCTCAGGAATCCTGGCAGGGAAGTGTGCCGCTGGATTTGGAATGGGGATAGCTTCCTCCCCCCTCGGCCCCCCAAAACCCCTCTCAGCAAAACAACCAAGGAGCCACCTCCTGACCTCCAAAGACTTCCAGCCAGTACTCTCAGACCCCCCCCCCAACAATACCCGGGGCGCCTGGGCAGTTCCTGCCTCTAGGATGGGGGGGGCGAACTGGCTGAAGTATGCCCCTGTTGTTCGGGCAAAGAGGAAGACCGCTCCCCCCATTTTTGCAGGTCTTCACGCGTCTGGTTCGGGTCTTCCCGGGCAGCGCCCCCTCTCTCCACGTCCGCATTCTCCAGACGCATCTCCTCTCTCAGTCCGGCACGCCGGGTGCAGCCCAGCCCTCCCCGGGGTGATACCGCCCAACAATGGAGAAGCGGACAGGGGTCGCGGGGCGCACCCCGCTTTCCCGCCCCCTTTGCTCACCCTGCTCCAGGTCCTGCTGGTCGTACCAGGGCTCCTCTTCCTCTGCGGTGAAGTCCTCCATCCTGGCGGCCCTCCGCATGGCCCCGCAGGCGGCGGGCTGCAATTGGGCGCTGCGGCGGCGCGGCTCAGGGCCGGGGCGCTGGGCCCGGGACAATGCGGCGGAGGCGGGCCGACCCTCCTGCGTCGCGGACTCGGGCTGCAGTGCCCTCGCCCGCGCCGCGCCCCCTCGCCATCGGCCGCCGGCTTGGCGCCCACAGGGGGCTGGCTCGCTGCCGCGGTCTGGCCCGGCTGGGGTCCTGCAGAGCCCGGGGCACCGGGCGGCGGCTGCACAAAGGGTGGAGGGGCGGGGGCAGCGGGCTGGATGGCGGCA